GTTCACACACAAACTAACTTATATTTCTTTATTTATTTCTTGTAACAGGATCTCTCAAAGCTAGACATGCCACCTCCTCTGTTAGCCTTATGCCAACATGTCCAGACCAAGTTGTTGCCTACTAAGGAGGCTGTGGCAGTTCACATGCCCAAGGAAGTGTTTGGCTTTGAGCATGATACCTTCCTCTTACCTGAAGATATTTTGCAGTTTGGTTCCATGGTTGAGATTGGAACCACAGTGATATCAGTATACATGAGGTAATTCTCCCTAATCCCATTTTGTTTTACATTTTCCTTTCTTTTAAATTAAAATCTCATTTAATTGACTTTCATATATTTAGGTTCCTATTTGACTATTTAAAAATGGCAAATATGGTAAACCTTGTTGGCCTCGTGGACCCTGGGCTAGTGAGCTCTCAATCTGGATCAATATCAAACCGAATAAAAAACCTGTCAAACCACCTGAAAACAGCATATGGGAATCAATTTTTCTTGGTCCCTTATAATCCAGGGTTAGTACCATTTAAAGTATTTTCCTAAGCTTGTAATATTTTTCTTTAATTCACTGCCAAAACGCATATGAATCATTATGTGAATCATTATGTGCAGGGGTCATTGGGTGATGGTAATTGTGAGACTAGCAATAGACCAACAACGGAGACTGTCTATTACATGAATTCACTGCCAAAATGCATGGTTGACGACGACATGAAAAATATAGTGAATACGTAAGTTGATTTCTTCTAATCTAAGATTTTTTTTCCTTTAAAGTATTTAAATATACGACGTTTTTAACAATACCGACGTTATAATGAACATATAACGACGGTAAGTTATTACCGACGTTTTAAATACTTTATTACGTCAGTATTTTCTTAATAACGTCGTTTTAATTTAACTACCATGTCGTTTGGGTTTTATTTAAGAACGTTTTAATTTTTTCTGCTCAATTTTTTGTTATGCGACGTTTTACTCTTACCGACGTTATAATGTTACACAACGACGGTAAGTTTTTACTGCCGTTTGAAACAAAATATCACGTCTTTTTTTTAAAAACTCCGTCGTTTTGACTGATTTACCACGACGGTTACTATTTGTATTTAAATTTTTTGTTTTGTCATTAACACCCTTTGTTTTCTTGTATAACAGGTCAATTAAAATGTTTAACATTCATATAAACAAAAATTCACGTAAACAGCAGGCCATTTGGAAAAATTTACACGGCACTCCTGAACAACCAACAAGTGTAGAGTGTGGCTATTACGTGATGCGATTCATGAGAGATATAATTTATGATCCAGA